GCGCTCACCGATCCCCGTCGGCTCCAGGTCCACGAAGACGGCGCGGGGCACGTGCTTGCCGGCCCCCGTCTCGCTGAAGAAGGTGTTGAAGGAGTCGTCGCCGCCGCCGATGGTCTTGTCGCTGGGCATCTGCCCGTCGGGCTGGATGCCGTGCTCCAGGCAGTACAGCTCCCAGCAGGCATTGCCGATCTGCACGCCCGCTTGGCCCACGTGGATGGAGATGCACTCGCGCTGCGGGGGGCACAGACCAGAGGCAGTTGGCTCTCGCTCCCTTCGGCCCCCAGCCGGGGGGCTCCCGGTCGGGAACGGGCTCAGCCCCCCATCGCTTCCCCCAACCCCAGAGTAGGGAACCGGGTTTTTATCTAGGACTAATTCCAGGTTCCCACCACCCGAGGCACATAATGGGATGGCCGGGCCGTATCAGCCTCCTGAAAGGGGCTATTCTTCGCCGTGGCTCTGCTTTGTGCCACCGAGCCACTTCCAACAAATGCAGGAGGCAGCCGGTTCGCGTCCACGGCCGAGGGAGCTCGAGGGGCCCCTGCAATTTATACAAGAACAGGCCAGTCTCCAGAGCCAGGGAACATTCCTGACGGGACCCATGGAAACAAATTCCCCTTTTCACTGCCTGATCCCTGCTCCTCCAGCAATTGTGTAACCCTCTCTGAGCTCATTTGGCCTCCATGTTAATCCTATTCTTTTGATACAAGGCCTTTTTCCTTTAAGCCAGTTTAAATCTGCAAGTGCCAGCCATCTGACTCATGGGAAAAAATGCCAGATAAGCAGCAGCGCAGGCTGTAATTTGGAGGGCCGCGGTCAGAAGACGGCGCTGAACCTGGAGGGCAGCCGGCACCTCTGACGCCAGCAAGCAGAGGCCACCTCCACTCCTGGGAATGGCACCTGGCCACGGCTCCCACTCCTGCCCCCACGTGCAAGCCCAGGGCCCGGTAGTGCCAGCGCTTGGCCACAACCCAGCAAAGTCACCAAACAAACTCTGAGGGCCAGGGACA